CCTGCGTAAAATAAAATTCAACGCTATGAACAGTTTTCCATAACCCCAATTAAACCACTTATGGATTCTTCAAGAAAAAACCTAACAAATGCAATGCATGAGCATAAGTGTATAATATAATAAATCTGCTCCAAAATTATATACGTTTACAATTTAATCCATACATTTATATAGCAAATGTTTATCTATTGAAATTGAGAGATACATAAGACAACGATGGTTGACGTTGAAAGGTTCCAGGGTCTGAGAAAAATGCAGAGAAGCTATAGAAATTGTTGTAATGAAAAAAATAAAACAATGGATGGAGACAAAACCTGAGAACAACGAAGCGGAAGTATTGGCAAAAGCCTGAGAGTGGAAGTGTTGGCAAAACCCTGCAAAAGAATAAAGCAAAGAGATTTTGGGTTTTTGGGATTACAAGAGAACGAGACTGAGAGTGTGGGAGACATCATCTTCTTCCCACCCCTGCTATAACTTTGCAGGCCTTTTTTTAATTTTTTTTTTCAGTTTCTTTTATCCACAATGTAAAATTTAATTTAATTCAGTTACTTAAAAATAATATTTGGATAAAATACTTATTATCATGTCGTTTTTTAAATAATTTGTCTCAAATTTATGAATATACATACACCAGTCATTACTATCATTACCACATTAAATTATCGTTGCTATCAACCATAGATTATGTTAACATAATAAATTAATAATTTAATTAAATTTTAAGTATTTTATTAATTTTAAATATTTGATTTATTAGTAATTAATGGTAATTTCTCTATCTTTTATTCAATGTGTCAGAATCCTTAAAACCCCAAGTGAAAACCAGGTGTCAATGAAAGGGTTCAGATTTTCATAAAATGGAAGATAGGTGACTGCAGGAGAGTGGATCGATCGGTTTGTGCAGGAGGTATATAAGTTGAAATTTTGAAATTTGATCCCACTTTCTGCATGCACCCTTCTTCTCCAAACTGTTGAACCCCATTTTCTCCTTCTTCTCTCTAGATTCCTCCACCTTCTCTTTAAAAATTCTTATCTTTTTCTTCTTTCAATCATCAATCAGGCAACATTTGAACTCTTCTGGCGTCAAGGGCTTTCATTCAAACCGATCAAGTTGTGGTTTTTAGCCGATGAGTTACTCCTCATCTTAGAATGTTCGTTTCTGTCACATGCAAACCCAGATTCTGGTTCATGGGTTTATCATCTCATTCTAAGCACATTTTTGGTCTTTTGTTTGGTTTAGTTTCACAAATCGTGACCCGTAGGAATCTAAGATTTCTGGTGGTGAGCTATTTTGTTCAAATTGTGAATGTTCAGCTACTTTTAGAGGTAAGGCAAGCTTATATAATTTGATTATGGTTCTTTATTATGAATGGTTGTATGTTTGTTTGATCATTTGATGAAAATGAAGGATTGGTGTTATTGCATGTTTGTTTATATGAACGGATGATATATGAATAATGTGAATTAGGTTGGTGTAGGGTTTGATTTTGAGTTTGCAGTATTCTGCGTAAATCTGTGTTGTTACCGAGAGTTATTATTGATCGTTCGGTTTATCCTTGGTTATTCGGTCTGGACTGGATTTCTTCTTATGTGGAGAATTTCAGTTAATGACCGATCAGTTTTCTCTTAGTGTGCTTGTAAGTAAGCGTTTGGTCTAAGTATAATTTCCTCTTTATGCTTCCTAAACAATTTAGTTAATGTAATCTATAATACTTAAAGTCGTAGATGTTATCTTTATCCTTCATTAAAAATAGTGTTGTGTAATTGTATATATATTCCTTCATTTGGATTTAAGTTTAGTAGTGCTTGGTCTTGAACCAAGCACTCGGTCTCAGTAATGCTCGGTCTTGAACCAAGCGTTCGGTTTCAGTAGTGCTCGGTCTTGAATCAAGCGCTCGATCTTTATAGTGGTTGGTCTTTAACCAAGCGCTCGGTATTTTTATTATACCCCATTGTGTACTCTGTTTGAACTAAGAGTGTTTGGTCCAAGTCATTAGTATTCGGTTAAATCTTGTAGGGTTCAGTTTAAGTTCTCAGGTTCTAGCAATAGTTATTATGATTTTCGGTTTAGTCTAAATTATATGTAATATTTAGTATTCGGTACATTTTAGGAGTTCGGTCTAGTAAAATATTGTTCTGTAGTAACTGTTGAGTAACCAGTAAATGTCCAAATATTATCAGGAGTGTTCGGCTTATGATGAGTCTTATCTAGAATGGACCATTCGGTTTTGTTCTGTATATAAGTGGAAGACCGCTCGGTCTTACACTAAGTGTTCAGTTGTGTTAGTCTAGAAAGTATTCAAAACGTTCGGTCTTGTCTCTAGGGAAATGTTATGGTTCAGTTTGGTTTCAAATGTGATATGTTTCTATTGGTTCGGTTGGATTGAAGTTATGGAATATAAATGGAATAGTATGGAAATGAAAGAGTATTCCACGGAGGAATATCTCATGAGTGGTTATTAAATGGTAAAGTATGAATGTGGTTATGCTTAGTTGGCGGTTATCCTGATATTCTATGATTACTCATTCTCAAGTAGAGAGGAGTAAGTCATGTGTGAGAATGGCAGGAGGTTCTAGTCCATAAGGTGAACTTGGACAGAACGGACTAACCTTGGGTGGTAGCAGTTGAGGGCATCCCAACTATTACATCACCCGGGTACAAAAACGTTGTAGCTACACAAAATTCATACAGTCTAGACAGTCAGAGTAAAGTGGTCGGTCATTGTATGCTTTGACGTGTAATTTTGATTGGAAGTGCATGATTGGATGTTAAATGTTTGTATATTGAATTATGTTAGATTTATGTGAAGTATAGGTTTTACTGAATTAATTAAATTACATAAGCTTACCCTATTTTCTGTCTTGCCTGTTTTGTCCGTTCGGTCATTATTTCTGTTGCAATGATCATCTATGGATTTGAGCAGAAGGATAAGAGTTGCTGGAAGAGGCCCTGGAAGTGAAAGTTGAACCATATGATTGTTCGGTCATTAGGTTTGGTCTTATTTTGTATAACCGATCGGTATTAGCGTAGTTTTAGTAATCGCTCGGTCTAGACTGTGCTTTGGTAAATCTTAAAGTCTGTAGTATCTTCGTAAGGTCGTTTGACCATAACTATACTTCTTATTCTAAGAACTGAACTGTAATATTGTTATCTGTGAATATTCTAGATATGGTTTTATGTCATATTTTTGGGATGTTACACAATATTATTGTAATAACTGTTCATTGATATATTTTAAAAAATAATGAATCAAATTAAACTTTATTTTATAATAATGGATGAAATTATAAATAAAGGACGAGACAAAACAAATATTAAGCTTGTTTTAGTTTTACCTTAAACGTTTACATGTACCACAAATTTACCAATGTCGATAATCATCTTCGTAAAGAACCATTTACCAATCATCATCAACACGTTTCCTAAATTGAAAAAAGAGGGCAATGGTAAAACTTGGATAAAAAATTCAGAAATGTCAAATTATATTTTTTATATATAAATTATTTTTTAAGTTCAATTAGTCTAGTCTATAGATGCAAATTTTTTTTATTTTATTCTTCTTGAAAAAAATATAACTATCAAATTATATTTTTTATATATAAATTATTTCTTAAGTTCAAACTAATATTACCACTCACCAAAGTTATTTATGTGAGGTTTATTAATGGATATTTACGTGACACTCACTATAATATGCAAAATGAATATATTTATAGCATTTTAACGAACTAAGCAAAACGAATTTAAAGTTCGTGTTTGTTTTGAAAATTATTGGAAAAAAATTAAAAACATTACCAAGTTAGTTTGAAGAAAATGTAAGAAAATAATCGTAAGAGAAAAATAAAATAAAATATAAAGGCATACTTTAATTAAGCTAAAATCAATTGATCCTTTTTTAAAAATTCCCTCATTTAATCGTTTATAAGCTCCAATAAATTTATAAAACTTTTTGTTTTTTAATACCGAGACTACAAAGCCTATCTAAATTGAAATATAGCTAGAGTTGGGTTGCGTGACAGTGTCTGGCTAGTTACGCCATCACCAAAGTCAAACACAAGACCATTCATTTGGCTTTTAAGCTTTTACACCTGCAAAACACACCACTGTCTATCCACAATTAATGCTTCTTCTTTTTTTCTAAATATTTTTCAAAACAGAAAAACGTAATCCTAATCCAAAAAGGAATTTAGACATAGTAGGCTGTCTCAGAAGTGAATTTTAAATAACATAAGTTATTTTTTCTAACTATCTATTAATATTTAGTTTTATACTTAAGATATATATATGTCTTAAAATGATTAAAAATATGTTAGAGATCTATATTAATATAAGATAAATTTATCATATTCAAGTAAGTATAAGATTTATCTTATAAATTTGATTTTATAAAATTAAATTAAAATTTAAAGTCTATTAATTAATAAAATTTATTATTTATTTGAATCACTTATAATGTTATTATTAATGTTTAGTTTCATGTTTAAGACATATGTAACAGGACTGTTAAAATCATAAATAAGTTAAATTTGTAATTAATATATATATATATATATATATATATATATAAATAAGTGCAGTACACCTAACAAGCAGATTTGATAAAATTAAATTAGACTTAAGCAACTTTTATATATATACAAGGATATAAGAGTCTAAGTAAGTGGGAACAAATTAATTTTTATAAAGATCTATCATATAAAGTAATCCGTGAATTTAAATAAAAAAATTTCAAATACTTAATAATAATTATAACAAAACTAGAAAATGCACATATAAATACCCGAACAAATCGAAGCTATAAAGTCAAAATCTAACCCGTGAATTACGTCGTTCTACCATAGAATGGGACATACTCTAATACTGTGTCACCAAGTTCAGATTGAAATTTCGAGCAGAAAAGTTGTTTGGGGTGTCAGCACTTCCTTTCCCAAAGTTCAAAGTCCTATAGCCACCATTAACACTATAAATACACGCCTTCTCTGCTCGTAACTCTCAACCTTGTCTAACAAACATTATACATATAGTTTCTCTAACATAATGTTGCAGGTAGCTATGACGAGCAAGGTTGCAGGGTTTGTGACAACCTTATTCATGATGGTGATGACGATGGTGCCAAAAACCGTGAGCGCCGAAAACATAGATAGAATCGTCACACAACAATTCTTCGACATGATAATCAACCAGGCCGATGGTGATTGTCCAGGGAAGAACTTCTACTCACGTGATGCTTTCCTCAAAGCTCACAATTCCTACCATCGATTTGGTAGTATGAATACCGAAGATGATTCCAAACGTGAAGTTGCAGCCGCTTTTGCTCATTTCACCCATGAAACTGGACGTTAGTACCACCACTATCATCTTATTATATATAAATATATGAATTTTCTTCTATTTCTGTAACTGTTATGACGAATTTTTACATAGAGCAGAAATCAAATACTGGTTTTCTGGCTGTGTGGATTATTTCCACTGCATCATTATAATATATGATTTTGGAATGGTTGATTAAGATGAGGATTGGATGCAGATTTTTGCTACATAGAAGAGATTGGAGGGGCATCGAGGGACTACTGTGATGAAAGCAACATTGAGTTTCCATGTGCACCTAACAAAGGGTACTATGGTCGTGGACCTATCCAACTTTCATGGAACTTCAACTATGGACCAGCAGGACAGAACATAGGTTTCGATGGGTTGAATGATCCACAGACAGTGGCCAATGACCCTGTTGTGTCCTTCAAGACAGCATTGTGGTACTGGATGGAGTTTGTTCGCCCTGTCATAAACCAGGGCTTTGGTGCAACCATTAGAGCCATCAATGGCTACCTTGAATGTAATCAAGGAAACCCTGAAACTGTCAATGCTCGTGTTTATTATTACACCCAGTATTGTTCTCAACTTGGTGTTGCTCCTGGTGACAATCTTACTTGCTGAGTTATATGGATATAGGAGTATATATATATATATATATATATATATGTGTGTGTGTGTGTGTGTGTAACACACATGTTATAGTTAATAAATAAACAATTCAAAGTCTCAGATTTATTTTGATTATTGTGATTAATACTGTTTGGATTCCAATATATACACTACTTTAAAAATTGTTAAAAAGAGAAACTACTTTTATATAGTCCTCCATAAATACAAGGTATTCTGATAAGAATTCCACTTCCTAACAATGGTGGTGGACAAAGTGGGAAAAAGAAAAGAAAAGACAACGATGGTAGAAATATAATATGTAAAGAAATTGTTATTGCACATCAGTTCATGATTTTTCTGAGTGGAAGATCCATTTTCTATGTTTGATTTTTACTTGTAAAGTAGAAAGACTGTTTCAGAGGGTTATATGATTCTTCTTCCATATTATATATAATGCTTAAATTTATATTATATATAATACTTACGTATAAGTATAAATTTATAAAGAGTTTAAGAACCTAGAAGACATCCTGCACTACTCTAAACCATATATAACAGCATTTAATATTGATTAAGATGGATATTACATCATAATACCATCAGAAAAAGGATTAATTTTAAACCTTTTATACAACATGAACTCTGAATCACTAAAAAAAATAGAAAAATCACTCTAAACACAATTAACAAAATTAAAAACCAAAATTAGCATTAAGTCAATAAACATATAAAGAAAAAAAAGTATTTAAATTATTTTAGGTGTTGACTCTTAAATAATATATAACTATTAAATGTGATAAAAATAATATTATATGAATGCCAATATTTATATTTTGAACCTATTAAAAACCATTGTATAGATTATTTATAATAATTACTGTAAAAGTGAACAAATTTATAATGTTTAACAATTATGGGTACATTAAGTTGTACTTTTTTATATTAAATTCAAATGAAAAACCAAAATAGAACAATGTAAAGATTAAATATAAGATAATATAAAATACAATTCTTTACACAACAAAAGAAAAAATGTAACAAAAAAATAATTTACTAATTTTGCCCATAAATCTATGATATTGTTGTATGCTTCATCTTTCAGCAATTATCTATCAAAAAATAAAATCTTTCTGCATTTCATACCAAACTTATGAAAGTATAATGATTAACAATTTCACTAACCTATCATGCCTATCATGGAGTAGTTGTAACTAATCAAACCCTTTGTCACTTAAAATTGATTAATTAATGTTAAGCTTTTAATGCAACAGCAAAGAAGCCTACATTTTTACTTACTTTTATAGAAAATAATACTATAAATTATGCCACTCTAGAAGTTCTTTTATAAGTGAAATTAATTTATTAATAATTTGATGTGCCCAAGTTAATAAAAAACGCTACTCTAGAATATAGTCATATTGAAGTTTAATTAAATAGCCATAAGTAGTTATATAGTATTATAGGTTAGCCCACAGAAGATTACTGACACCTCGGTCCCTTATCCCTTATCATTTATTCCTTCTGTAATAATGGAATGAAATTCTAGCTACCTAAGGATATAATGTCAAACTCAAAAGTTAAAATAATTTTAGGAATGAATACGCTTTTAAACATCTAAATTCTTATGTAAATTTGAAATTCATATAATTTAATATTTATATTTTAAAAATAAATAAATATCATTATTTTAATTTAATTGTGTAAAAAATCTTATATGTTAAATAACATGGTTTATGAAAAAAAAAAAGTTAACACTGCATTACAAAAATTATATTTATCATTTTTAAATAAAGTTTATAACCAAAATATATAAAATTTTGAACATAAATAAATTTTAATTCTGTATTCAAATTTAAAAATTAAAAAAATATTTAATCCATAATTTTATTATCAACCACAGACAAATTTTACTAATATATATATATATATATATATATATATATATATATATATATATATATATTATACATAGTAAAATATTATTGAGATGTTTTATAAATTGAAAATTTGAATAAATACACAAAGATAAGTTGTATAAGAATATAATGACTTGATAATTTAATTTTTTTTCCAGAAAATACCAATTAAAGAAGTGAAAAAACAAATATTATTTTGTCCCATATCAAACAATTATTCTGAAAATCTGAAAATGTGTTTTTTTCTTTTTATATAAAACTCGATACATTAATTATTTTTTCCTTAAAATATCTTTAATTAAATAAGATAACTTTAGTAGTTGTAATATATTTATTGTTATTAAAGTCCACCTACTTTTAAGTTTAAAATATTGATGATTTTTATAAAATAATAACTAATTTATTATATTCAACTAATATAAATTTATTTTAACTAAGTGCATTAATTGAAAGGTTTATGAAAGGAGAATAATAGTTTCAGAATTTATTTTTCATATACAATCAATTCATCATTTTTTTATAATATAAATTTATTCATTGCATAAATTTTTGTTGACAAAATACTCTATTATTGTTCCATCAATCAATATACAATTAAATATATTATTTCAAAATTTATCTGACAATTTTCCCTGAGAAGAAAACATGCTACAAATAGAAGTCAGTGTGGACTGGATTGCCAACATTGTATCTATCTATAGTAATCACACAGTTTGATAGAATTCTCCATCAAGCGATGTGGAACAACAAGGTGCAAAACATGAACGCCGGAGTAACGAGAGTGACGGTGAGTTTCTTAGCGTTGATGCTAATAGGGTGCCAACAAGGTGCTTGCTATGGCACTGACACAGCCAACCATGTTACTGTGGCTGACATTGTCACAACTGAATTCTTCAACGCCATATTAGACGAAGGTGACGACGATGCAGATTGTCCAGGCAAGGATTTCTATTCTCGACAAGCCTTCCTGCATGCTCTCAATTCCTACAAACAGTTTGGTAGGAGTGGTTCTGTAGATGACTCCAAACGTGAAATTGCAGCTGCTTTTGCTCATTTCACCCATGAAACTCAACGTTAGTATCATTACTCTTTCTCTGCATCTCTTTCTAGTTGACCTGGGACTTCTAACGATTAATGAATACGAATGGTTGTAGATTTTTGCTACATAGAAGAGACTGAAGGTGAATCAAAGGACTATTGTGACGAAAGCAACAGTGATCAGTATCCGTGTGCGGCTGACAAGGAGTACTATGGTCGTGGGCCGATTCAACTGAAATGGAACTACAACTACGGAGCAGCAGGAGAAAGCATTGGTTTTGATGGGTTGAAGGCACCGGAGACAGTGGGGAGTGACCCAGTGGTGTCGTTCAAGACAGCACTGTGGTACTGGACAGAAAATGTGAGCCCTGTGATGGAACAAGGATTTGGTGAAACCATTAGAGCTATGAAAGGTGAAGTTGAATGTGATGGAGGAAACGCTGATGCTGTTCAGGCTCGTGTTGATTACTACACACAATACTGTTCGCAGCTTGGTGTTGCTCCTGGTGATAATCTCACTTGCTAAGTCATCTCTGTTACTCAATGCATCATCCATGGATATCAATCGGGAAGAACATGCATGTCTGATCCTTCTTCTATCATATATCATATGTGTGCTGTAAAATAATCAGTTCTATGCGTCAGATATATCGTACCTTTCGCAAGAATTATATATGCTCCTTTTCATTTCCTTTATTCTTATAATATTAAGAGTTATGTTGCTTCGAAATGTTGTGATAACATTTCATTCTAAAACCAAAGATATATATTGAAAACCATCAAATAATTATATTTTTAGGGAAGCTATTATTAGAAAGTAGATTTAAGGGGATGTTTCGATTTTGACCCGACAACGGATCACATAAAACTCGTTAAGATAAGCTTCAATCATAACTCTCATATCATATTATGAAGTAGGTTTTTAGACCTAACTCAAACTCATAAAATCGGTTTGTAAGATAAAGTTTACACCTTATTTATATATTATAATTTGACATTATCTTTAGTCGATGTAAAAAATTCGAACAACTATTTTGATTGTATTATCAGAGATAGAATAGAAAATAACCTATAGATTTAATTTTTTTTTACTGTGAACTGCTAATGAAACTGATTAATAATTAAAGTTTTTTTTATATGTTGTTATATGGATAATGGTTTCTATCTAGTTTAATAGACATTTTGAAAAATATGATTCAAGAGTTTTATTAAACTTCTTTATTACAAAACAGTTAAATTTATATACTCACATATTATAATTATCAGTTTAATATTATAATTATTATTTATCATTCTATTATTAATGTTTTTATTTAATCTAATAAACATATAAAAAAACACATTTTAATAAAATCTTTTAATATTTTTCATTATGAACTAATCCAAACCTATAAATATTCTAATTAAATCTTAAAAATTTAGTATGATAATTATTATCTATTCTTTTATTATTATCTATTACATTATTATTATTATTTTAATAGGAATATACATCCACGATTGATGAATACAATTAGTATTTTATCTTTTTCTCTAAACGGCAAGAGTCCTTTGGGAAGATTTTTTAATGAAGCTAATTAATAATGGAAATTTTTTATATGCTGTTCATGGGTAATAATTGGGTATTGTTAAGTTTTTTAGAGACTCATAGATAACACTTTTTAAGAGAAGGGAGATACGAAGGAAAAGGAGGTGGCTCATCGCATCATTACTAGAGCACATGTTTCGTTTCTTTTTCGTATCTTCTACAATTAAATTCAAAGGTTAATTTTAATTATATTTTTTATATGTTTAAATATACATTAAGGAACCGATTTTTGGATTAGAATTAAGGTGTTAAAACAATTTTAGATAGATTTTTTCTTAGACAAAAACAAATTGTGGTTAAACCCACATGTTAAAATAATTTTAGATAATTATATCTTAGACTTCACTTTGGAATTGAATAACATGCGATAGGGGTCCCACTTATTTCATTTTCTTTTCACTATTTTGGTGAGGCCAGTTTTTTAATTGAAAAACGGTACAAACGCAATAAATTTATAAAATTTTCATAACAAAAGAAATAAAAAAGAAAAGTCTAAAGAAAATATGTTATCTGATAAAAATGTTATCATCAAAGCGTTGTCAAAAATCTACTCCAACATTTAATAATATATCCTTTTCAAATCATAGAAAATACTTAACATGACTTCCAATAATAACAAGTAGTATATATATCACCTTAAAAACCTTTTTGAAAAATAATTCAGCTCCACAAAATCAATTTTTGTAATCTAATTCAATCCCATAAACTCGATTGTATTGAATTATTTCAACTACACAAAATTATACTTTTATACTTATTTACATACTATAAATTTATTTTATATTTATTTTATGTAAAATATCACGTATCTAAGTGTTGAATTTTAAATTTACGTTAACTTCTAACATTTTGTTTCTATAGTCATTTATATGTCATAAATTTAATCTATATGAATTCTTCAATATTTATTTTCTTTTTTTATGTGAAATTGCTGGTTTGAAACTTGTCGAATTCAATATACGCAACGGATTGAATTTTGCAGCATCAAAGTTGACAATTGAAAACTTCAATATAGCAGAAAAAAAGAGATCAATAAATTTTGTCTGCGCCAAAACCATTATTACGCCTAAACAATTATTTCTATCATCATCACTTGCAACATATGTTCATTAGCTGAAAGAAATACAGAGAACTGATGTAATTAATAAAAGTGAAACATATTAATTAATTAAAGAATCCTAAATATACATAGTGTGTACACGTCAATAGACTTTTTATAAGCATATATCTTGACCTAAAGAAAGCACACTATTAATAAGGAAAAAATAAATAAAAAAACTGAGAAATGATGAAATAATTGAGCTAAGCTATGTGTGAATAGAGAAGGTCTGTTTTAGGGTTTTAGGGTATGAAATCAATGACCTGGACCTTTAGGGCTTGGTCCAGAAGCCAAACGTTGCATCCAAAACGCCATCGTTTTCTTGGCTTGTTCGTAGGCTGAAGAGGTGTGTGTTTGGAGGTTATTAGCTTTTGCAAATGCAAACTCCTCAGACTGAGATAAAAGCCTTGCCTCCACCCTACTTTCTCCAATCAGAATAGCAACAAACACAACAACAGCTACAAAATTCAAAAGGGTGCATGCTTTTGAGGAAGTCATTGATTGAAGGTTTGGTGAAAGCTAGAAAAGAAGGGTTGTTGTGGTATAGCTAGGTAGCGATGAAAGTTTTTTATGCTTGTGTTGTGGCTTGTTGTTCTTGATGGTGCTATTTTATAGTGAGGGAAGAGGAACAAGAAAGTGTGTTAGATTTGTGCTTCTCTTTTTGGACTCCATTAGCTTTTTCGGTGGACATGGGTTTCAATGGATTATTCCGTGTTGACCAAGGATGTTTGGAAGTTGCCCAGCAATGTCAAGTATTGTACTATACTATTATAACCAAATTAAAAATACCATGTATTCTAAATTTCAAAGATACTTTTAAGTATAAATTATATTTGAAAATGAAAAGCATGATCTTGATATTAATTGTAAATTAAGTAAGAGTACAAATACAACTATCAATTCACTAGTAAAAATTAGGCTTTTTAACTCGTCTAATAGGCTTCGGTTTATGGAAAACCGAAGCCTATCAAAACGTGGTGGCACTGTCGTAATTAAGCCGAACTTATAGACACTGATTCTTTCTCACCCGAAGCATAAAGGAGATATGACCTCAGTTAGAAAGGCACCCGAGCCAAAAGACCTGTCCATCCTTTCTGCAAAACCTGCTATGCTTACCAGTCAGACCTAAGGCATCGGTTGGCCTAGGAACCGAGGTCGTTCGGACCGAAGGCATCGATTAGCCTAGGAACCGAGGTCGTTGGTCCTTGATATTTTCTCCGCACGACCGTTCCTCTTCCATTTCCGTTTTATTTTTCTTGTTTCCAACCTAATGCGTTTCCGCTGCAGCCAGCAACCACCACCAGGAGATGGGTTTGCACTCCCGATCTCTATGCTCCTCCTACGAACCTGAAGTTGACGGGGAACGCGAGCTCGAACCTGAGCCCGAGCCTTGCCTAGGGTTTCTCCAACGAGAGAGTTTCTCCACGGAGATAATCGAGAGTATCTCGTCGGAGGATCTTCAGCCCACAGTGAAGATTTGCGTCGACGGACTGCATTCTCCATCGGTGGCGGCGAAGCTGAGGCTATTGGCGAAGAACAGAGCGGACAACCGCGCTCTGATTGGCGAGTCTGGTGCGGTGCCTACTCTGGTTTCGTTGCTCCGGTGCAGCAATCCGTGGACGCAGGAGCACGCGGTCACGACGTTGCTGAATCTGTCTCTTCTGGAGGAGAACAAGATATCGATCGGTGCTTGTGGGGAGATACCACCGTTGGTTTCGCTGCTACTGAATGGCTCCCACAGAGGGAAGAAGGACGCACTGGCGACGATGTATAAGTTGTGTTCAGTGCGGCAGAACAAAGAGAGGGCGGTGAGCGCGGGGGCAGTGAAGCCGCTGGTGGAGCTGGTGGCGGAGGAAGGGAGCGGGATGGCGGACAAGGCGATGGTGGTGCTAAACAGCTTGGCGGGGATTGAGGAGGGAAAATAGGCAATCATGGAAGAAGGTGGTATTGTTGCGCTTATGGAGGCGATCGAAGATGGGTCGGTGAAGGGGAAGGAGTTCGATGTTCTGACTCTTGTTCAGCTCTGTGCTCACAGTGTTAATAACAGAGGCTTGCTTGTGAGAGAGGGCGGGATTCCTCCTCTCGTTGCTCTTTCTCAGAACGGCTCTTTTCGAGCTAAGCACAAAGTTTGTTTGTTTGCTGTTTTCTATATGATTTGCAGATTTTGATTTCTAGATGGGGTTTTGCAAGTTGAAAATTGTTGATGAGGATCAATGGAGGTTGCACAAAGTGAGGTTGGGGTAAACAGTTTGATTGCACACAATGAAAGAAGGTTGTCACGACGGCCTCAGGGAGCTCGCGAGATGTTGTGGCACGATTGTTGATGGCTGCGACACGGTGCGACACAATAAGGTTGCTGATGGTGCACGTGAAGCGTGATTGTGGTTATGGGTGGCGGTAGTCGCAACGGCGTCCTGATTTTCTATTTCCTGCAGGTTGCCATGATAGCGGTGTGATTCTAGAGAACGTCGTTGGAGAATCTGGAAATGAAATCGGAACCGAGGCGTAAAGGTGGCGAAAGAAGAAAAAAAAGACCATACTGCCTCGGTTCAGGTTCCAACCGAGGCAGTAAAGAGGGACAAACTAACTCGGTCTGGAAGAAAAAAGTCTACACTTTTGCCTCGCCTTAATATGCTTCGGTTCAGGAATCGCTGCCTATGGGCAAAAATAACCGGTGTGGTTTCCCTTGACTGCACTAGTGATTGTTCCTAAAGTAATATTGATCTATTGATAGTCTCACATTGACTAAAGATAAGATTAATTTATAATATATAAGTGAATGCAAATCTCACCTTACAAGTTGGTTATGTGAAGTTGAATTAGACTTAAGTCAACTTTTTAATATGATTTATAAATTTAAGTAAGATGGTTAAATACATATTTATTACTTGTACAAACTATGTATATCGAATGACTAGATGATCTGTATATACAAAAACACTAATCATGTTTCAAATGTATTATTCTCACCATGTAAAATAAACATATGTGAAAATTATGAAAA